AGAGTCGTAGCTGAATTAGAAACCAATTAAAAACTGGAGTAAAGCTTCATCAGACAGCATCTGACATGACTAGCTCCATGGAGCAACAAAGTGAATGCAGAACTACAACTTGAAGATCTACAGATCCTTGCAAGTGAGTTTCCCCTTATCCATGACATTAAGGCCGTGTTAACTTCTATGAAGTATGACTCAGTGTCTACTAGAAGGGGAAATATACTTGTTCTTTATTACACACAAAAGCCAACACACAGATTGAGAGATTTTCTAAATTCTTTTTCTGGCAAGACTAGCAAAAGACCTTTTTGCATCAACAGCACATCCACTGTTTCAATCTCATGTGCATGAGCTTTGAGAAAAGAATAGGAGACTTAATTTAATGATTTATGTAAAATTCAGCTGCTACTTTAGAAAGCATCTTGAGATGAGGCTGCAGAACCACACTGTTACAAAAAATATAAAGGAGTGAGATAATTGTGACCGCTTGCAGCTTACCAATTCTAAAATGCTCTTGCAATGATGAATGCTACATAGATCTTAAAAACTAGTTCTATGGCTTAGATGTTAGGCTCACAACCTGGCCACTGCCATGGACAGATCTTCAACTCATCAATACAATGATCAAGGCCTTTCAGCTTCCAGGCAAAAAGACTGACCTCAGATCCTGGATTCCACTCATGGACTCCAATATATTACTAAACAGGCTACATTCCACTCTCAGGACACAGATTCAAAAACGTGAATCACCACCATCATCATAGTACATTAACCTCACCCATCAAATCCCCCTAAAGCTCTTTCTTATTCATCACCTGAGCAACGCTCCTTGTTTTTTTGAGACTTTGGCCAGGATGAAAGGAGAGGCAGAAACTTGAAAACAGATGGTGAAAGAAGGCTAAAAACAGACAGGATAAACCAAGGCCTTCAGTGACATCATTACAGGTCAAAGTATTGTCATTACAGTCTCCACTTAAACTGCCAAATCCTCTCCCTGGTTACTAACCAAGGCATTGTACCACTTCTTCAATTCCAAATGTCTACGACCTTCAACAGATGAGTTAGCTCCACTTAAAACTACCAACAAGAGCTCACCTACTTTCCTAGAGTTCAGCACATCCCACTCTTAAGTCTGACACACTAAAAAGACTCATCTAACCCATGTTCTTTGTGACTTGTGGAAGGGTCATGACTAATTCACCACTCCTAACCAAACTAGCCAATACCTCAGAGAAAAATCTTTCCTTCTCCTCTCATTATTCATTCCAACCAAAAGTTAAGAAAGCCATCCTAAATACATAACCAAATTACTACACAGGGACAACCCTTCCATTTCTGAGCAAAGTCACAGAGCAGTTAACCAAATGGCAACCACAAATTCCTGTAACTGAAGCCAGTATTTTACACACATCACAATAAGAAGTCATTGAAACCTAATGGCACAGATGGATGGTTTATAAGTGTATAGGAGGGACCACATTTAATCTCATTTTTCTGGACCTTTTTGTAGCACTGGACACTACTGACCACAAGCTAGTGCCGTCACCCCTCAAAGGGCAGGGAGTGGTCTAATGTAATGGTGGAAGTCCTTCCTGGAGGAATCCCTTCACTATCTGCTATAATATGAACCTTAAGTGAAAAAAGAACCAAAGTTGTTCATTGTTATTACCTGGTGATGTCATAAACAAGCAAAGCACCTGCGGCACCTCTATAGTAACTTCTTGTTACAGACCTGAAAAAGAATTACAGTTACGTTTCTGGAATACCTTTACCATGTAAAGACCGGATTATGATGATGTATTCTACCTGGTGTTAAGGTACTAGTTACTTAGGAACTTAACTATTGTACAATATTGGTGACCACTTACTAAGCACTATATTTTGGCAGAAGCACCAGTCACCAGTATTTTGTGACCTGCAGCAATTACCAAATGATGTCTCAAGTGCTGGTTTGATTTATAGGCCCTGAACAATATATCCTGGCTATGAGAGAGTAACTTTACTATTCCAAGGCAGTTTCACTCATCTAACATGAATCAACAGTGCTCCTTACCCCTCTTGCCCTCACTTTAAAAATAGGCAGCGTCTGCCATGGAGCATTCACAGTCTGGGGCCATCGCCTTGGAAATTCATTTTCCTTTATTGCAGCAGTTCCTAAACTTGGGGTCCCAACGATAAAAAACAGGGTTGCAAAGATGCTCGACAGTGTCAACGGATTATACAGGGATCTGGGTTTTCCATCTGCTATGGGAAATGTGGAGTTTTAACCCAAAGGAGAAAAATCACTGATTTATTTCAAGATCAGTTATTTCAAATTTGCTCCTCATTTCCATGTGCTCAGGGAGAGCTGGGCCTGACAATAAGGAGGGGGAAGGAGCTGCAGAGAGAAGAGGGGGGGGGGGGGGAAGGAAGGAAGAGGTTAATGGGGCTACATGACTTCCCCAGATTTATTTTCCCTGTTGTAGCAGTGGGAAGGGGACAAATTTAAGACAAGCCTACAATAATCAGATTCTAGACTAAAAAATTCTATAAAATTTACAAATTTTCCATATATAGAATCTAAATTATTGGCAATTGTCTTATAATTGGGGTCATTTTACATTTGAATAATATGGCAATCTTTTAGCATCTTTGGACAGAGATGCATTTAAACATTAGGCATTAAGTAGATGTTTGATGCATGACCAAATATACTGGATATATGAGCAAATCCAGGATTTCCTAAGAGGGGTATGACACAGCACCTCAGACTACGCGTGACCAAGGCCTCCAGGGGACACTGGAGAGCCGGGCAGAGAGCAGGCACTGGAAGAAGAAATCCATCAACCCTCTGCTGTAGTCCCTGGGCTGACAAGCAGGAGGGAGATCCTAGAGTCAGTCCTGCCCCACACTCCAGCTGCTTCCTGCAGCCTGTGGCTGGAGCAAAACAGGAGTGGCTCCCCACCATGCCTGTCTCAGCTGGGAACAGTGGGAATGGCAGGGGGTAGGTTCCTCCTTCCAGTGTCTATTCGCAGAGAACAGGGGACACATAGGAGGGGACAAAAGCAGGAAATAGGATGAAGAAACCTGCTTGCTGCTGCCATTTTCCTCTACCAAGCCTGTTACCATATGCCCCATTTTAGTGGGGCAGTCCCAAATTTCAGATGCTGGTCCTAGCTAGCTATTGGGAATTATAATGGGTGTCCTGGAAACACAAAGGCACAGGGTGCAGTCTGGCCAGGGGTTGGAGTGGCGTGGAGCACCTTGCAGGCAGGCACGTGGGTACCACTGCCTGCCCAGCACACAGCCTATCCCCACCAGCTTATGAGAGCATGGGGGATGAGAAGGGGGGCAGTGTCCCAGATTCCCAAAATTTCTATATGGCCAGCCTACTTACCTGAGACAGTACATCCGGAGTGGGGTAGAAATGGCTCTGCATCTCACAGCTCCACATCAGCTGGAGATAAGTAATGACACAGGGGATAGGGTGGGGGGCAGAAAAGGAGGGTTCTTCCTTTGAGCATCTGGTCCTCATCAGCAACGGATAAGGCAGTGGGTGGCTAGGAGCAGGTGCAGGAAGAAGCAACCTGCTTGCTATCACCACTGTCCCTGGCACCCTCCAGCAACTACAGCCTGTGACCAGAGCAGGGCAGTAGTGGCTCTGAGACTAATCTCTGCACCTGCATCAACTCCAATCTCCCAAATCTGCCACTGACAGGGTACAATGTTGTTAAAGATATGTTGGTGTTTTGATTTATACAAGTGACTGGCACTGCCTCTCATAAAGAAGCTGGTACATTTAAGTATAACTGTTAGAATACAGATATATTAAATAATCAGATTACTTTCACAAAAGACTATACTGGGATCAAGACAGAGATCGGTCTTACTGCATGTTCTGACATGACTAGTTTCTTGGCACCTTCTTCATCAAGCTAAATATTTTCTTAACATAAATTTTGAGCACTAAATTTGATAACTAACCATACCATAAGACAGCTAGTATCTCAGGTGATACAAGGCAGTATTGGTTCCACTGAAATCTATGAAGTTACCTCAGTTTAAACAAACTCAGAATATGGACCATTTAACCACGGTAAAGCAGACAATGCTGATAACTTAGCAACTGTACCTATTTACACCACAGATAAATCTAGTCCCTAATACCTCTAAGTTCCAATTGAATACCACAGAGAATAAATAAACAAAAAGATACCTGAATCTCTCTTGTCCTGCTGTGTCCCATATCTGCAATTTTACATATTTACCACCTACATTTATTATCTTTGAACCAAATTCCACTCCGATAGTATGATTTGAGTCATCTTTGACTAAAATAGAAAGGGAAACAAGTTTAATATTTTGAGAACAACTGAAGTGCATGATTAGATTTTTTATCTATTTAAATATTTCAAATATACTCATTTGGAAAACAGGAGCATAAACAGTGAAGGCACTATTAAAAGGAGTAATTAATATTTACTGTAAATTTTGAGTATATTATTTCTGCAAAGCATATTCAAATTTAGGCAAAAGCAATTTTTCAAAATATTACCATAACATGCAGAGTAACTAAACACTTCTAGAAAGACAAAACTAATTATACATAAATCATATGGTTTCAGTATTACCAATTTATACTTGTAATATTTTTGAACATCCTGACTAACAGCTCAAGGGCCATGTACAAACATTCAATTTCTCTTGAGAAAGTCACTGCCCTCTCAGGAGGAACTAGGAATGTAAATATAGTTTAAATATATTTGTTTAGCCTCCTCTAATTACATAGGTTAAATGTTTAACCAATAACACAGTAGCTTGGACACAGCTGCTGCTGGGAGCCCATTGACAGTGGGGACAGGAGGCAGCAAGCCTAGCTAGACAATCTGGGTGTGCCCTAGGAGGGAGGGGCGCCTATGAATGAGCAGCTAATTGCTTACTTGAGTCATTAGGCTGCTGCTGTTTTCCTATTAGGTTATGAGTACTAGTCCCCATCCCCACCTTCCTGCCCTCTGTCTTCTGGTTCCTGCTGGGGCACTGTGAGGCTTCACTTCTCCCCTTCCCTGCCAGATGGTGCCTGCCTGGAACTAAAGGATAACCAGTAAACTAACTGGTTATTACTACACTTATTGGTTAAAAGATTAAATCGCTTAACCTTTCACATCCCTAGGAGGAACCACAATTGTAGAGATGCTCAGGATTTTTCTCCCAGAGAAAAAAGTCTGTTTCTGGAGAAAAACAGCCTGAGGACGAACAGGGTTAAATCATCCTGGGTGTTAACATATTTATGCTGCAGGGAGACATAGGTTAACCCTGAGCAGTCTGGGTCAGCCAACCAGGGCTGCCCCATGCACTGCTGCCATTCTGTCTCCAGGCACACTAAGGGAGTCTAACCAGCACACCAAGACATGAGCATAGGGCCCCTGTGGCTGCACAGTATCAGCACTGCAAGCTCTCTGCTCTCCAGGGGCTCAGCATTCAAATGTCTATTCAGGCATCTCCAGATAAGTTTTGCCTACCAGGAGAACAAACCCAGGAGGATTTTCCCAGTTCATTTGAATGTGCCTATGCAGCCAAGGTCAATACAAAGGTCTTCTCTACTAAAGCTTTTTCTGTTAGCAAGTTTTGGAGTGTTTTGTTATGGTCTGGTAGACCATGTTTTCTAAAGCTTTGATCTATTTTTAAAGCAAAATCAATACAAACAGCAGAACACTAAAAATAATCTCAGTTCTGCCTACAAATATTCTGGCTCTATTTCTCTTTGCGGGGGGG